GTGGTCAGCGAGTGGAGTCCACCGTGATGGTGCTTTGCTGCTGCTGCTGAAGAACTCGTCGGCGAAGAAAGGGGCGACGAGGCGGCTGAAGAGGAGGAAGAGGAGGATGATCCATAAGAGGAGGAAGCTGGCGGAGAGATGGCCTGATACGTGGGTGAGATTCTTGCAGGCTCAGCAGCAGTGGTCAGTTCGGGAGTTTTCGGAGCTTTTGGACTGCCGATGATGTCCTCGATGGTGAACTTCGTCGGCCGACGAGGCTGTTTGCTCGAATTGCTGGGACTTTTGCTGCTTCCTATGCTACCGCTGCTGCTGCTGTGGTTGCTGAGCGCAGGTGAGGAGGAGGATGAAGAGGGCGAGGAGTTGAAGATGGAGTTCTCTGCCTTTGGGGGTGATATTATTTGGGGAGGGGGAGGTAGTGGTGGGAGGTGCTGGGAAGGTAGTAGGGGACGGGGAGGATTCAGCAGGAGATTCATTGTTTCCGCAGTGTTTGGGTGTGGTGGGAGAGGTAGGCTCAGGTTTAGAGGGTTTCCCGGTAGAAAGGGATTCGTTTGAGGAGGAGGAGGAGGAGGGGGCTGGTTGACGAGGTAATTTGGTGGTAGGTGACCAGAAGGGTGATAGCCATTCAACAGCATTGGGTTTAGGGGGTGGTGATGGTGGGCCGGTGCGGAAAAGAGCTGGTGCTGAGGAACTCCATTGTGGTGTAGGTAGTGCTCAAAAGGAGGAGGAGGAGGTAGAGAGTGATGGCCGCCGACACAAGGGTGATGGGGGTGATGGCCATAGGGGCTCATGTGGTGGTGGTGCAGTTGGTGGTGGTGGTGATGGGCAGCTGCAGCAGCGGCCGCCGCCGCGGCCATCATCTCCATCTGCTGGCGCTTGTAGCGCTTGCGTCGGCGGAGGAAGCTCCCATTCTCGAACATGTCCTCTGAGGCGGGATCCAGCGTCCAGTAGTTGCCCTTGCCGGGGTTGCCCGGCTCGCGGGGAATCTTCACGAAGCAGTCGTTGAGGGAGAGGTTGTGGCGGATGCTGTTCTGCCAGTGGGGGAACTTCTCCCGGTAGAAGGGGAACTTGGCGCGGATGAACTCGCAGATGCCGCTCAGGGTCAGCTTCTTTTCCGGTGACTGGAGGATGGCCATGGTGATGAGGGCAATGTAGCTGAAGGGAGGTTTGGCGGTGGTGGAGGAGGAGGAGGAGGAGGAGGTGGTTTGCTGTTTGCAGGAGCTGGAGTTTGAGTTGGGGGAGGATTTGCTGTTGCTCGAGTGGTTTGATTTGCTGCTGGACGTCTTTTTGGCCTTTTTGGGCGAGCTGCAGCCGTCATCGTCTTCTTCATTTGGGTGGCTGTTGTCGACGTCCACCTCAATGTCCACCTCGTCATCGTCCTCCTCCTCCTCTTCCTCATTGTCATCCTTGTCGTCGAGGTCGTTGAAGTGGAAGCTGCTGTTGCTGTTGTCCTCTTCTCCTGAAAAGTCCTCTTCTGAACCGAACTCCTTCTGCCTAAAGTGGGCTAGCTTTTGTTGTGCCTCTTCTCGGTCTGATTTGCCAATCAGATTTGGGACTTCCTGTTGATCAGAAAGTTTTGAGGTGTTATTATTTGCAGAAGCAGCCGCTGCTGCTGCGGCAGCTGCCGCATTGGCAATCAGACTGTTTAGGTAGAAGGCGGTGGTGGGGCAGTTCTTTTGTAGGTGTTGCAGCATTTCAAGGGGGAAAGCTGGTGCTGGGGCTGCTGTAGTTCCTGGTGGTGGTGGTGGATACAGGAGAAGATTCGGGTTAGGGTTTGGATTTTGCTGCTGTTGTCCTGCTCCAGCAGAGTTCCGTTGGAGGAGGGAACTGGCCAGGGCGGCCACTGCTGCGGCGGCGGATGGAGTTGCTGCTGCTGCTGCTGCAGAAGCTGTGTTTGAATTTGATTGTAGAAACTGACTGGGACCCGAGATTTGGGAAGAGGAAGTAGTGGTTGTGCTGGGGCTCGTTTGCTGTGGAGGAGGTGGTGGTGGGAGAGAGGCCGCTGCCGGTGCGGGCGGGTAGTACCGAGGGATCATCATTATTCTTTGATTTAGTGTTGTGGGTGGTAGGATTGCGGTTTGACTGGGTAGAGGCTAGAGAGACACTGAGCAAAGTTTGTTCGCCCTTTTATAATACCAATTTGCACAGACACAGACACAGGCAAACAGACACTTGAAAACAGACCCACACAGTGTACCAGGGGTTTTATCGTGTTCCCTCTGTTGATAAAGACAGCTATCGAGATATCTAGTAATGAAGATGATGATGAACGGACGAACAGTTGGCGTTGGAAGACGATAATTGCACGAAACGGCGGCGGTAGTAGCTGCTAAAGAGAAGGAAAGTGAGACCACTCGATAAGAGTGTCGCGAAAAGAGTGAGCGCCTGACCAGAGCAGTGAGCGGCGACAAGCGCTTGCCTGTCTTCTTCTCAACGACAATTTCTCTCTTTCCATCTCCATTTCTCTTTCTCTTTTGAATACCCTCCTCACTTGCTTGCTCGTTCTCTTTTACGGGTGTTATGCACCCGCCCAGCTCCGGCCGTTTCCCAATGCTCGGTAGTTTGGTAGA